TGGAGAATGCTAATTTTTACTTAATTGCTTGTATAGTGTGACCCATACACTGGGCAGCTCGAGAGTTGGAATGTTGCACGTGTCCAAGGTGGTAGTAAGAAGAGACTCCCATATAAATACGATTTTTCGATCCTTACAGCTCTTGAGCATAACCGCTTGGGACCATAGCGGGTTGTAACCCTGCTCAAGTACTTTTCTTGCGAGCTCGGTGGTGTGTCTACCCCTCGCAACATCGTTTTGGTGCTCTTCTAGTCGGCTGGCAAGCATTCTAGTAGTGGCCCCGACATATCTTGCATTTACTCCCGTTGTAAGGTTTTCCAGAGGTACAGCATAGACCCCCGACTTCTCAAGCGTGGAAAATTTGTCCCTATCATTACAAATGAGTTTGCGTAGGTTTGGAAGTGGGGTTAGTGGTAGTATAAGGCCGTGCTGCTTAAAGATTCTGCAGATACGTATAGAGAGGGGTCCCAGGTATGGCAACGATGTTTGTACCATTGAAAATTCTCTTTTGCTGCATAATGTGGTACTTGGAAACAGTGATTTCTTTACCATATTGAGCACGTGCGTAAATTTTGCACGTGAAAAGCCAGCAGTGCGTACCCCCAAACTTATGTTGTCTAACTCCATGTTTACCAGCTCTTGCGAAGATGATAGTAAGTAAGCCCTTCTAACGAGAGCGGCAATGGCAGCATTGACATATCGAGAAGGCTGAAAAGCCTCTGCTGGTATAATATGTGGAGCTATGCTGGACTTGTGATGAACCGAGAATTGTAGTCCTTCCGAAGATTTACTTATATGCATGTCTAAGAACGTTATTGCCGCATCGCTTTCTTTTTCCCAAGAGAAATTGATGGAAGGATATATGCTTGACAGTTGCTGCATAAATAAAGTACTAGCGAATAAAAAAAAAAAAAAACGCACACATAACGCCGACCTCAGTGCCTTTCCTTTTTTACAACATCTATAAGATCGATCTGACATCTCAAGTTCATTTTATTACATAAAATTGGTTTAACTACCAAGTTTTTCTTAGGAACATTCTTTTTTTCTGACAGATTTCACACAAGTTCAAATAAATTATGATCATCTCCCTTGTAATATTTTTATATTTCGTACTTAATTCTTTTTCCATACGGTATCTACCTCCATGTTTAATAGCAATATGGGCATCATGCAATATCTGAAATATTTCTTTTGTGTGAACGTAATATTTAATCGCATTACCTTCTTTTATAGGCATAATTAATTTTTCTAAATTTCCGATAGATACAACGTCATATCTACGTAAACGCTGATATTCTTCTGGTATCATAGAAGTAACTTTCATTTTTGACTCTCACTTTTTGTATCATTGACAAATATGCTGATTTTGTAAAAATTTGATTGTTGTCACCCTTTTCTGCTATTAACTCGTTTAATTGGTTGTTGAAGTGATTATTCATATCACTTAATGATTCCTCCATGATCGTTACTTTTGTCATAGAAGAAAGATTAACTACTGGTCACATAAATTTAAAATTTGGTACTAAATGCAATATGCATGAGCAAGCGAGATGTAAGTTCTGATTGGCTAACATATGTCGGATGATCACTCCTCAACGTATTATTATCACTTTGATAATAATATGTTGAGGATTATTCATAATGACCGTTCAATTTGATAAATTATTGAAATTTATTACAATGCCCGATTTTGTTGGTCATTATTCATAATGCCCGTATTAATCACTTTGTCCATAACATATATATAGGTCTTTCAAATTTGTCATATTGTAGTGCATGCATATATTTATGGGCAAATGTAAAACTTTACAGTCAACTAGTAACACCTATTGATAGATCTAGAATATTTTTTTCCATGTTATTTTTTTTGCTAGTTTTGCAAGATTTAGCATAATATTTTCTAGCATAAAGACAAACATAGCATCTAGTAGTCATTCATACTCGCTTTCTCCTTCTGAATTGCTGGAGTTATTCAACACAATTGAATCAAAAGAAGAAAATACTGCCTAATTATTTAACATACCATAAAATGAATTAAAAGGAGATATCAATTTTTTTCTTAAATCTTATATTTTTCAAAACTAACTAACTCTCTTAGACTAAAAACAATAAACTGATAATTTTTCAAACATCTTTCTAAAAACCACATCACAAGTCAAGTTCACAAATAATCACATCAACATGTACAGTCAAACCTCGAGTTACAAACAAAATTTTGAATGCCATATTTGCTTCGGTTTCTGTATGATAACTCGGTTTCCAAACAAGCTACTCGACAAGATAATGAATTCCCTATACGTCACGTGTTAAAAAAAGTCAACATCCCAACCAATCAACAAGAGTACTACTGTTTCAGAAATTAGTGGCATAGAGATCATCTCGTATCACTTAATGAATCACTGATGACTTTGCTATTTAAATTATATTTTAATGTTCATGAGAGAAAGATACTATTTTCGTTTTTCTGTACACACAACAGTTGAATTTAAATCAAATTAATTAATAAAAACTGCATTAATTGAAATTCACATAATACAAATGACATTCAAGAATTCATGTTTAAATATTCTTAAGTTAAATTAAATGACAAAAATTTATTGATCTAATATTATACGTGGTATGATCCAAAAGTTCGGGGACTGCAGTAATCTATGATAACAAAAGCATGTATTTGAAGTTACAGTGTATGAAATGGATTCTATCAAACCACTCCTATGTGTTCAGGTTTGTTTCGCCCATGTCACGTAATTAAACCGCAAGTGCTGCTGTTTTCTTCCAGAGATAGTTACCTTTGTTCTGTGACGTAATAAAAATGAAGTTTCAAGAACAGCGCTGCAACATTAAATTTTGTCAGCGTTTAGGTAAAACACCTACAGAGACTAAAATTGTTAAGAAAGGTGTACAGTGATTCTACCATGGCAAAATCGAAGGTGTACGAATGGCATCGGCGTTTTAAAACGGGATAAGAATCCATCGCAGACGATGAACACTCTGGCCAACCTTCGACTTCACAGAACAAGGAAAATGTTGAGTTAGTCTGTCAATATGTTCGCAAAGATCGTCACCAAACTCTTGAAAAAAATGCTGTGGCTACTCACTTATCAAAGACTAGTTGCCAGCATATTTTAACAGAAGATCTTAACATGCACCAAGTGTCTCAGCACATTGTCCCTCGACTTTTGACTTCTGAACAAAAGGAAGAACGAATGAGAATATCGGGTGATTTAATCGACAAAGCCAATAAGGATTCATCATTTTTTAACCACATCATAACAGGTGATGAAACGTGGTGTTATTTATTTAATGCCGTTTTGTGTCATCAGATGAGGTGAGAGCAGCATCGCAGGAGGCCTTACGGGAGGTTTCAAAAAATGGCTTCCAGCAGGGCTTCCAGAAGTTATACGACCACTGGAAAAAGTGTATTGTCGCCCAAGGTGATTAGTTTGAAGGTGGTTGTGCATTGGCAATATAAACTTTTTAGGGTAAGGAATTTTATGCCAAGTCACCGAACTTTTGGATAATACTACGTATATTATAATATTAATATTTATTAATACTAGGTAGCCAGTTAAACTAAAACAAATAATTAAAACTTGTCCTTACATAGAAACAATCTAAAACTAAAAATAAAATTAAATTAAAATTAAATCAATTGAAACACAATATTTCAAAAAAGTGTTGATAAAGTATTTGTTGATCTTGATAAATTTGGTTATATTTCATCTTGGTAGTCAGAGTTGAGTCTCTATTTAAAGCATTTCTTTGTAAAGTGTTAGTTTTGGTTATCCATGAGAGAACATTTTGCTTTTAATACTATATAAATAGAATAAATATAAGCATAGATATAGATGAAGTAATATTATATATAATATATTATATTTATAGGCATTTTATGCATGAAATACAGCTAACAAGATAAAAAACAGGTTTGTTTTGGGAGGTTGAGAACAAATTAATCCATTTTACATTGTTTCTTATAAGAAACTTTGTTTTGGTTTGAGAATGAATCGGTTTCCAAACAACTTTTAGGAATGAATTAAGTTTGTAAACAGAAGTTTGACTATATCTGAGTCAGTGCTGCCCCAAAATAATATAAACAGTATGAATAAAAGTAATACTTGTAGTATATTTATAGTAATTTACATACAGCAAAACATAGTTTATGTTCAATTAGTTTCTACCAAAAAAATTTTTTTTTACATATTTTACCAGTTCTTTTAAATATATAGTGCATGTAATGGATATCACTATCAGTCCATTAAATTAAAGGTTTACCATTTTCCAACTTTCTGTTTTTAATTTAATTTTAAAATATTGAAAAAAATCATGATAAAAATATATTATCCAAGCTAATTTAGACTATTAGTTTTCAAAATAAAAAATTAATTAATACATTTAATGATAGTACATTGAAATGGATTTGTGAATTTACAATTCATTTTAACTGAATAAAAATGTAACTTCTAAATTTTTGGGCTTATATATCACAATAAAATTTTTTTTTTTATAAGTTTTAGGTGTTCGGTAAATTAAATACATTAATATTCCAAATTAATTAATACAATAAAACTTCAAACTTTGTATTTATTCCAAATATAACACTACATACCTATACGCATCTAAAGTTTTAAGTCCAATTTCTAAAGCCTCTTCCCAGTCTTGTAAATCAATGTAAGCATCAAATATAATATCTTGAATTTTTACTAATAGAACATTTATTGGATGCATGACAGTTTCTTGTTCTTTAAGCAATGGAAGACTTAATTTTAAAATTTCCCTTGGATTACCTGATAAAATAATAGTGTAATTATTCAATCAATCAAAAATTTCAATAAATAACTTATATGAAATAAATTATTAAAGGAGACTTAACATATATAATTACAATAATTTCAAGACAGATTAATAATATAATAATGTAAAGATTTATCAATGACATATACATATAAATAATGCACAAATTTTAAAAATTATGATCAATATCTTAATCAAATAAACTCACTTTTTTCACAACTAAATTTTAAGTTATTATTTAAAAAATATACTCTAAAAATTATGGGAGTTAAATAATGAGAATTATTATTTTTTAGTAGTTGTACCCAGCAAAATAATTGTTGTAAAAAGTTGTGTTAAGTTACAAATAAATAAGGAAAATAAAGAAGCAAATAAATTAATTTACATAAAATTTATTCATATAAAACTTATAAAATTTCTTGATATACAGCATTAGTAGTTTAACAAATTGAAAAGAGATTTCACATTAGTGTATTCTGTATAGATAAATAGATTTGATTATATCCTTGATTAATTCTAACAAAGACTAATATTAATACATGTCCATATATCCCCTCAACATGACTTTCATTTCTCTGGAAAAATTTGAATAACCATGTATAGCAGCGATTTCCAATCGGGAGTATGTGTACCCCAGGAGTACGCACTTTGTGATTTAGGGGAACATGAAAAAAAAATTAATAATGGCAGATTTACTATAAAAATATTCAGATTCTACATTGATGTCTTTGATGATGTCATGGCATTTGATGATTACTTTTAACAAAAAATATAATTATATTTTTATTATATTTATCTGTGTCCTTCCTGCAACACTTTTCAATTTAAAAAGAAACTTTTTTACATATAATTTTACAGTTCTGTATAATTGACCAAGGCATCACTGTTCAATGAACATGCAAAATAAAACTTAAGAAAAATAGACTGCCAAGGGGTATGCAAATCAAAAAAGGCTGGTAACTGCTAATGTATAGGATTATAATAAGTCTGGGTTTGGGCCAGAGTGTCCTGAAATTATGACAATATCTGGGATTGTGTCCAGAAATGAAAATAATCTGAGAATTTTTACATGGAAAAAGAACAAAGAAAAAATAAATTATTTATAATTGCAATGATAATTTTATTACTCAATGTGTCGCGTCAGGCCGATTCTTGTCTCTGGTGATGAGTAAATTAATTTCGTAAGTCTCACCTGACCGTCTCGTTCGTACTCCAGGTTCCCGTCGTATCTTCAACCAAAGAAAAGTTCACCAAATTTGTCTTTTTGATTTTATTTACACAAAACCAACAAACCTTCTATATACAATGATTCAGTAGGAAAGAGCGTCCCGCTCTATATTCTCGCGCCTTTTTGTCACTCAACACCACCAGCTTGGTGTTGCCAACTCTCCAATAATATTAAACATTAAATAAAAAAAACTATTAAAACTGCCCGCCATCTAGCGGGATGGACGGGTCACAATGTTTGTCACAATTCAATATAAGTAACATAATTTTTATCAAAAATAGAATTTTATAATACTTAAAAGTATGTTTGTTAAAATGATTTTTAAGCAGTTTAATGCAGGTTTTGAAAAGTTTAGTATATTTTCTATATAGAAGATTTAAAAATTGAATTTTATGGGTACTTCATTAATCCAGTTATATTTATATAATTTATTCATTACATAAATCTAAACAAATCATCAATGCATGAAATTCATATATTGACACATTTTGAAAATTTTGGAAACAATTCTCTCAAAAGGGATCAATTATTTCTAAATTTTTTCAATTAAAATCTCAAAATGGAAAAAAAATGAAAACAAAGTTTACCACATTTTTTGCTTTATAAGGCACACTGTTGTATTAGACAGATCACATTTTTCAAGATGCATTTGGCTTATAAGATGCATCCTGATTAAATTTTAGGTACAAAAAGTACAACTTACAAGGCAAAAAAAAAATGTATATGGTATATTATTTTGATAAAAAAAATTAATAAGTATATATTTTGAAAATCAAACATGATTTATTATAAAATTTTTACAAGACCCATAATAAATTTTCAATACTTAATAAATTGAAAAATTGACTACTTTAAATTTAAATTTATTAAATTTTATATTAATATACACTATAAATTTATCATAATTTATAATAAATTACTTAGATACTACTTTTACAATACTTGAAATAATTATATTAACNTAAAAGATGAATAAAATTTTCAATATTATAATCAAATCTTTCATAAAAGTTCAAATGATACATGGTCTGTAAATAAAGTAATGAGACTTTTTCTGTAAATATCTGTACTCACAATTGATTTACAAATCAATTCTGTCTCCTTCAAAATAGTCTCCTTGAGAAGCAACACAGTACCTGAGATGTTGCTTCCACTGTTCATAGCAGTGCTGGAATGCAGAAAGTGGAATGGCCTTCAACTGGTTAGTTACAGCCTGTTTTATGTTTTCCGTCATGCCAAAATGATGCCCTTTGAAGTGTTGTTTCAGTCTGGGGAAGAGAAAGTAGTTGCACAGACGAATATGGAGCTGAGAGACAACAGGAATATTTTTCTGTGTCAAAAACTCTGTAATTGAAAGCACCATAAGACAAGGTGCATTATCGTGATGCAGCATCCAGGTCTCTGATGTTTGGCCTCATGTGAGCAACACATTTTCGTAGTCTTTCAAGAGACTCACAGTAAAAATTCGTGAACTGTCCTTGAGGCACAAATTCTTTATGGACAATTCCATTGCTGTCAAAGAAGCACATGAGCATGAATTTGATCTTCAACTTGCTCATTCTCGCTTTTTTGGCCATGAGGAGGCTGCTGTGTTCCACTCCTCACTTTGGCATTTGTTTCTGGATCATACTCAAAGATCCATGTTTCATCACTCGTAATGACATTTGTGAGGAACATTGTAACTATGTGGCTCATTTTTGGAATGCACAACAAAATATCACTTTGCAAAATGTGTCACATTAACTAGTGCACTCACAGTGCACTAGTTAATGTGACAAGGTTTTCACTTGAACTGAAGCTATTTGGTATGGTGTCCTTACACCACTGGCAAGAAGAACCCCACACGTTGCCAGATCGTTCACTACAAAACCAGTCTCATTACTTTATTTACAGACCTCGTATAATATTTATATTAAAATAGATATTTCCTATTTCACAAATATATATAGATTTCTATTTCTTTTTAAAATTCTTTTCACTCTGTGGGAACTAAAAGGGTTGTTTTCTTTTTAGAAAGCCCTTATGGGTTCAGCCAGGTCCACAATGGGATGACTGGGGGACAAGGGACAGGGCTTGACATACTCAGATAGATCACCCCCTGAAAAATTCTTGGGGTGTTTTGACCTGTTCAGATTTGATCCCAGGGCAGTAGGCTGCCACCCTAACAGCTCAGCCATCTGGCCACATAAAGTACATTTATTACAAATGTTAAAACAGCCATACTGTAAGACTTGCAAATTAAACTATAAATCTATAATAAAGCAATGATAGCCAAAGTTTGGTTACTTAAATATAAATACAAATACAAGAACCAAGAAATTTTTAAAAAATTAAACAAATAATATTGTTAATTATCTGAAAAATTTGTTTTAGAGGTAGACATGTTAGTGCTTCTCTTTGCTGAACATAATTTATAACCTGTCTACCACATGATAAAAATTAAATTCTTCTATATATATAAAATACTTCTATAATTTGATTTTATATTTGTTTTTAAGAAATTTGGTAATGCCTTTTTGATAAATTAATATGACAACAATTTGAAACTTTCATAACTGTTCATAACTTTCTAACCTGAAAATTGTTCTAAATTAATTTTTCTTAATTTTTTATTACTTGATTAAATTTTTGTATTTTAAAAATTGTATTTTATTTATAAACTTAATTTAATCTACATGATTATGAAATATAATGTATTTCTTAACATAGTTGGCAATTCTATTAATTCTATATTTGTAAACATTCACTCTTCCCTTAATAACAGTCCTGTTCCTACAACTAGGTCATTAAGCAAATTGGTCAATAAACAAGGAGCTTAATGGTTTTATTTATTCTTGATAAAGAAATGGTGTAAAGGACTCTCCTAATTTATAAATTTGCTTTAATTTGCATTTCTTACATATTACAGAATGTAGAAATTCAATCAGCAAAAATTATTAAAATATTGTACCAAAAAAATTAAAATTTATTCATTTAAAGCAGTGTTTTTCAACCTGTGGGTCGCAAAGCCATACACGAGGGTCGCGGGTAAAAGAAAAAGACAAGTGTTTGTATGTCCTACACAACAATAAAAAAACTACAATTTCAGTGAGAAGACTGTGCCTATTTATTTTACAGTACAATTCGTTTTTTGATCAATATTTAAATCTCAACAGAAAGAAAATTAAATACGTAGTTTTTAAAATCACTGACATAGTTTTAATATGGCCGTGGGGGGTGGGCAAAATTTTTTAACTTGTAAGGGGCCGCATATTCAAGAATGTTGAGAAACACTGATTTAAAGAACGTCATTCAGAGTAATATTATAGTCATCAAATCCTTCAAAGGGTAATGGTTCTAGGTGATCAGTGTCATCATAAGATTATCCAAAGCTGTAGAAAGCCTGAGTTACAGAGATTACTGCAAAGAAATGGAAATATTTGTAGGAGTAGGAGTCCTGGATGTAGCTTTTCAGGAGAACTCATTAACATGATCTGCCTTATAAGTTTCCTTTTTTTTCTTCATAAATTTTGACAGAATCATAAACATTCATTCATTTGCTGTTCCACTTTTGCAAACTGTTCAACATTTAGATCTATACCCTCTAGTTCTAATATAGCTACATTCAATTTTGAGAACGCACCAGCTAACTCCTTTACACTGAACTTCTTTTGTACTTCTATTCTTTTGTCATCCTCCTTTTTCCAACTGCTGTTATGCTACCAACTCTGTTGTCCTTCCTTCATTTATTGGTGCTTCATTTATTGGTCTTTCAACATCTTGTACTATAGGGTCACAATAAAGTACAAATTTATACATGAAATATGTAGTCTAAAAGATTGCAAATGCTTCTTATATTAATACTGACCAATTGCGGAAAACAAGACTATGACTACAAAAGGAGATTCACAAGATTCAGACTGAGAAAAGAGATTTCCTGGAATGGAGAGATGGTCATAAATCCAACCAGCTATTAAGCTGATAGGTCATTAAGTGAAAAGTGGCTGTACATTATTTGTAGTATATAAATCGATGTACTAATATTTTATCCTTTTTTAGCATCATTGGATTTATTGAAAAAACTAATGTTTTCAATCACCTTCAGTGACCATTAAGTTACAAATTCATTTTGAATAATTATGTAACTTAATGATCGTTACAAAAGATAACCAAAAATGTAGTTTTCACCTGTGTGATCAAAACTGTTAGATATAAACCCAATACTGGTAAGAATGTTGATTATTTTCTTATAATATTCACAATAACCAGATAAGTTATAAAAAGGATAAAATTTTTATCTTAGGTTACATTCATACTACTGACAATAAGGAAATCTAATATTTTTTGTTATTTGTCTTTGTAAAATGTTCACACTAGTCATTGCTGTTGCATTTTCATCTTAGTCATTCATCATTCAAATGTTAGCTTAGATTCAACATTTGTCATTATCATAATAGTGTGAGAGCCCAAACTTGACAATAAAATTTAGAACAAAATTTTCTGCAAAATTTATTAAAACTTGCTATAATTTTTTCCACAATTATTAATTGTAAAAGATATGATTATATTGTGATTGTTCGTTATGAGAGACGTATACAATTCCGCAAACGAAAAGTTACAAACAAAAGAAAGATACAAAATTCAATTATCACACAGTATTCTTTATTCTCTCCGAACTGGTTCTTTTCCCTTCTTTTTTTTTAGGAATCCCAACTTTACAAACTTTATGCTTTTCTTTTATACAGAGAAAAAGGAACAGGCTTGTCTTCCACTATCGCCGGGGTTTGTACATGTGACAATCGTCAAAATAACAAAAAATCTACTTATATAACTAACTTATATCTATCTTATAACTAATGAAAAGATAAGTGTACAGGACAGATGAATATAGAAACAAAATGTAGGGAGAATGGAAATACCCGGGATTTCTTTTGATACGTATATACACTTTCAAATTATGGCGCCAACTTGATATCTTTTGCTCCAAGGTCTGTTCGGCTCTTCTCGATATCGATGAATTCTGCTCTTTCCTTAGACTATTCGTTGTCCTTACGGCCCTTTTCTTTTCGATATCATCTCTTTCCTTTCTTGCCGATTCCAGTCAAGAGCACTTGCTTTTTTGATCTGCTCTCTTCAGAATCTTTTTCCAGAGTGACTCATTTTCTGTCTGGTTTTTTCCCAGGGCCCCACTCCCTCTTTTGTTCTTATTTTCGTGGAAAAGGTAATCCTACCCCAGAGGCAAAAAGGGGTAGATAAGAAGGTCTTAGAAGAGACAAAGAAATAGGAAGGAAGGCTAGGATTAATTCAAAATAAAATATATAAAATATACACTATCATGGCCGACAGCTACAATATCTCTCAGTAGAGTCACTTCCCCCTTTCCCAGGTGATACATCGAATGTGTCACCTGGAACTTACAATTAAAATTCATTAGCCCTGACTTATAATATTTCCAAATAAGGATATGAGAAGAAACTGGAATAATAAAAAGAAGGGGATCAATGACAATCACCATTCGTCATCATCAATAGTTTGCCATCTTTGACTAGTTTTCTAGCCCAATATTTTCGGATACTGCTTAAGCCACTGCCCACCATCTATTTGTCTCAAGACATCAAGAGACTTTTGCACTCTTTTGACTTGTTGAAAAGTCTAACAAACAATCTTGCAGACCAGAAGTTCATCAATCCGCCAATTCTTTAACAAAAGAACCAACCTTGATTTAACTAAGGTATTTATCAACTGGTGGACTATTGTGAACTCTCTCTCTTGCGGTCAGGGACCCGTGATATTAATGATAATAGCTACCTTGTAGAGATCCTTATAAAATTAGCATCTAGCTAAGATCCTTATATAACTTATGTATAGAAATGTAAAATGCTTATGTAAATAAATGGGTATTGTTTAATATTAAGTTTATAAAATAAATAAGACCTACTTGAACCTTTAACCAATGTGTATAGAAATTAATCTTTACAATACGAACGTTTTCTTAACCCCTTCTGGGCTCTTCTTCAGGTGAAATACCTGGATCAAACATCAAACGAAAAAATTTGAATAAATCCGAACGCTGCTGAATTTGAATCGCTCGGTTCGTTCATTTATTTCGTCACGTGATATGTTTGAAAGTGTTCGAAGATAACGATAAATGTCCATATTCAAGAGAAAGATATTATTAGGATATTTAAAAAACATGCCATTGAGACATGCAATTATCCAATAATGTTCTCACATGTTCCCCAGTAACTTTTATTTTATTTTATTTTTTAACACTTAATAAATGGTATACCATTGTTACTCAGTATGTAATGCGTTTTGCCATGCCATGGAAAGGCCGATTTCGTCTCTTGAATTAATACACGTGGATGTGTCGTATGCCTTAAAAATTTCCATCTCTTCCAACCACTTTAGGTGATGAATATGGGGTGTGGTGACAATTATACGCGCTCTATTGAAGTCCGCCACAATTTCGGGATCCGTGGTGTAGTTGGAGAGTGAGATGGTGTGTTTGTTGCGTTGTATATCCGAGATATGCTCTTTTATCCTAACCCCTAACCAACGTTTAGTCGATCCTACATATACTAGATCCCTGTTAAACCGGTTATCTCTTAGCGGGATTGTGTAGATGCCTGATAGTTTCTCCACCCTGGACCGGTCCTTTTCGTTGCGCAGGATATCGAACAAGGTGCTGCATCTTCTGTATGTCAGGGTAACTTTTCATTCTTTTGCGATGGTGTTGTATAAAGACCGCAATAGAGGGTTGAACCTGATAGGTATCCTTTCATTTTCCATCGTCTTGCTAGTGTTTTGCATGGTCGTTGTAGTGTTGGAAGAAGCCTGTGGTTGTTTATGGCCCACCGAGATTTTATGTATAATATTGCGGTAACCATGGGACCTAGCAATGCCTTCCAAGTATTTTAACTCCTCCGTTAGCGCCTGTTGGGTAGAAGAGTGCGTGTAAGCTCGTTTAACCAATGCTCTGAAGGCCGCCATCTTGTATTGAATGGGATCATGAGTTAAACGGTATGTACGCCGATAGATTAGACGGTTTGCGGTAAACAGATGTGCGTAAGATGAAATCCTCAAAACTTATATCCAAATCCAGGAAATGGATTCTGCTGTTACTATGTTGTTCAATCTCTAGTGTCAGTCCATATGGGTTCTTGTTCATTTCTTCTAGAAAGTGGGTTAGGTTGGGAGTTGTCCTCCATAAGATAATGATGTCATCGACATACCTTTTGTAAAGGATAATGTCTTGGAGGAAATTAGGCAGTGTCCTGTTCTCCAATTGCCTAATAACTAGTTCACATAAATCCCCGGAGACAGAACTGCCCATGGGGACACCTCTTGTTTGCGAGTACATCACCCCTCTAAATTGAAAAACGGAGTTGTAACAAATTAAATCGGCCAATTCTAGTACTTGATGGTGAAGTTCATTGGTGTCCAATTTTTTAAAGAGAAAGTCCTTTAGAGTGCAGAAGCATGGAGGAATTTCAATCGAAGGGTATAAGGATCTAAAATCCAATACTGTGATAAAAGACGGGGAGATAATTACCCTGAATTGTTCTATTAAATCCACTGTGTTGGTGATGGAAAATTGGTAGCCTTCAAGATGTGGAGTAAGGATGTTATGTACCGCTTTTTCAAGTTTTCGTGTGGGAGCTTTGGCCTTATCCACCACAAGGCATAACTGTTGCCCTTCTTTATGTGTTTTGGCAAAGGCAAACAATTTAGGGGCATCAGGCGCGTCCATTATAATGTTCTTCATATTTAACCTGGTAGCCAACTTCGTAGAAGTGAACCTTTTAACTCTTGACTGTAATTTATCAATCACGTTATTTTCAACTTCATTGCATCTTGTTGCTTCTAGGTACTCAGAAAGGCCCCTCTCATAAGTTTCCCGCTTCATAATCACTAATATTCTGGCTTTATCTGCCCTAACCAACGTAACATTATTGACGTGTATCCATCTAGCCGTGCGTTTAAGATTCTCTCTGAATTGGAGCACATCTCTAGAGTCCTTCTTGTTTATTATTTTGAATGTGGCTACCCATCTATAATATTCCTTCTGCAGATCCGTCAGGCCTCGTATTAATAACTTTAAGTCCAGAATGCACGATTGTAAAGTATCCTTAAATGGAGGGATAGGGGCGTACGCAGGACCAAACTTGAGGATATGCTCAACGTAACTCAACACCTGTATGTCATCCCTTACAATAAATTGACATTCGTTGGGTCCGCAGCTGGAGGGTATTTGGAAATGGAGAATACATTGCAGTTTTTTACAATAATGTCTCCTTAAGTTAGATCTTAGCCTTTCCTGTATGTTGAGAATTTTTGCATTTTCCAAGGCCAAAATTCGAGGGTCTTCTTGATATAAAGAGTTTTCAATGTCCACATCCACGTGTATTAATTCAAGAGACGAAATCGGCCTTTCCATGGCATGGCAAAACGCACTACATACTGAGTAACAATGGTATACCATTTATTAAGTGTTAAAAAATAAAATAAAATAAAAGTTACTGGGGAACATGTGAGAACATTATTGGATAATTGCGTGTCTCAATGGCACGTTTTTTAAATATCCTAATACTATCTTTCTCTTGAATATGGACATTTATCGTTATCTTCGAACACTTTCAAACATATCTCGTGACAAAATAAATGAACGAACCAAGCGATTCAAACTCAGCAGCGTTTGGATTTATTCAAATTTTTTCGTTTGATGTTCGATCCAGCTATTTCACCTGAAGAAGAGCCCAGAAGAGGTTAAGAAAACGTTTGTATTGTAAAGATTAATTTCTATACACATTGGTTAAAGGTTCAAGTAGGTCTTATTTATTTTACACAACCCGGTGTGCAGTTGCTGTTTTATTATTTAAGTTTATAAGTTTATTATTTAGTTAAGTGCACTTCTTCACCGGCTGTCTCTCTACATCCCAAGTCTGAGCATCCACACACATAACTGTTTGCATAAAAATAATCTTAACAGCCATCACAATTTCTGTGTCCATTGAGACACAGTGGTGTCAGTCCTGACGTGGCATCAAAGAGGTGCTGACCATGCGGTCACATTGATCAATCACTGAAAACTTCCCATTGTGCTCTTTGAACAAGGTGGAGGAACAGCTAATCTCATATGTTGAAGAAAGATTTTAGCTCTTTCTTGAAGAAAGATTTTAGTGATCTTTCGTGATGAAGAAAGATTTTAGCTCTTTCTTCAACACGAGATTAACTATATGAACTATGACAAATCCCCAAACATCAAAGAATTAACATTTTACTCTTCATATCTATTTTTAAAATAGAGATGAGTCCAGTCTAAGAGCACGGAAATCCACAGAATAATGCTAAATCTAATGTAAATTGCACATGCTCTAGTGCAGTGGTTCCCAATTAGTTTTTCCTGCACACCACTTCAAGAAAGAGCTCAAACTCGTGTACCCCTTATAGCAGAAATTCATATTAATCCATACTAATATTATAAATTTGAAGGTAATTCTGTCTGTCTGTCACCTTTTCATGTCTAAACCGCTGAACAAGTTTTAATAAAATTTAGCACAGAGATAGCTTACATGTTGGAGATGGACATAGGCTACATTTTACTGCGAGAAAATATCTTACTCCGAGAAAATTCAATATAATGCGGGCGAAGCTGTGGGTAGACAGCGAGTGATAGATAGAATAAGTTTTCTTTTTACATTTATTACCTTTAAAATACAATTCTAATAATAATGAAAATAGCATAAGGTAATTTAATTTTAATGTGACAAATGTGCACAATTTTCTTTGCACAACTTTGTAAAATCTGGTTGCTTTTTGGTCAGCTTCAGTCTCGAGTCATCTTCGAGTTGAAGTCGGTGACGATGTTTAGTTTTTGTGTTTGTCATGGCCGAAAATCTGCTCTCGCAGAGGTATGTTGTGCAAAATGGTAGAAAATATTTTATTGCTGCTTCGCTGACATGATGATAATGATAATTGTACAATTTTTGTTTTTGTGCAAGAATTTCATTTAGGTATTGTCACAAATGCATTTTTTGATAAATTTCAAGAATATTTTTAGTTATAAATAAACGAATTTGTGCATTTGACATCATGTCGTAAATTGCTCAATTTTTGATGGTCGGTCCACCCATTATTTTTTTTATTTAAATCTCATGCATTTAAATTTTAAATAGACCGATTTTAGATTACTGTGCGTACTCCTTTATGCAATTTTGTGTACCCCCAGGGGTACGCGTACCACTAGTTGGGAACCTCTAGTGCAAAAACTAATGAACAATGTGAATGCTTTGGTAACAAATGATAATATGAAGAAAAATGCACTATCATTTTGTTTAAAATCTGTATTTTCAACAGCAGTGTGAATGCAACCTTAGTTTCACAAGAGTCAATTTGTTCTACACTGAATATATAATATTTTCAACTTCCTAAAAGCCTGTGATATTTTCAGCACTGAATTTAATTTATAGAAAAAGATGAGATATATTTGAATAGTTTCATTGCTTTTAGATGTTAAAACCTAAATACGATTTAAGATAATTTCTTTCTTAATAATTTCTTAATGTAGCCCTATAATAATATAATATTCACATCTTGTTCAGTTATAAATAATGTAATTGGATATCTTCAATAAAGTTATTTAATGAGAAATATTAAATAATTAATGCATTAAAATAACTGAAAATTTCAGTACTTAGAAACTTATATTTATTTCAAGAAAAATATATGCAAGTATATAATAAACTAACCCAATAGTCACCAAAACATCGTGAACAACTGCATGTAAAATAATACTGTTCTTGAAGTTGTTGTTGTTTTGTTTCTTTGGTTTCCATTTGATCAATATAACTAATAAATACCTGTAAATAAAATTTGAGATATTTGCAAATCAGTTTTAATTTTTAAAATTTTATATTAATTATCAAAGTTATCTATTGGAGATACTGTATCCAACAAAAAATTGTGATCATCAGTCATTTTAATTCCAATGTAGTACATTCATCCTATTATATATGACTAATAAATATAATTAATATATACTATATATACAGTATATATAATATTCAATAAATTTGTTAATATGCTTATATATCAGTGGCGTGCCATCATTGGAAGTGGTGGAAGTGCCGCTTCCCTTGTGTTTTCTAATAAATAAATACATATTGTGCGATTATTTTCATGTTTTAACATATTTTGAATTAATTAAAATTAATATTTTATTATAAACGCATTATGTATCTTATTACAAATTTCTATACTGCTACATGTGAAAAAAACGATAAGATTGCTATTGTATATTCAAATATAAATTTGTATATGTATATTCCCAACGGAAGCTCTGTATTGTCGAATATGGGACAGCTTCCAGGGCGAAAATATTTGAACAGTGTAAAGCAGCCAGATTATAGGCATTTGCACATGCACTTTACAGAGCACCAACCTCAGGCTGTTTAGCTGGTGGAAGCTACACACCAAAACGCTTCCAATGATTTTATCCTGGACTGGTTCTGGGCTGTTAGCTGCCTGCTTGCTAGGTATTTGGCTGCCCTTGCCCCATTATGTGAATCACGAGTAAAAAATATAACTTAACCCAACCGATAGGAGTTTACTGGTATGTTTTTATGATAATTCTGTATAGTTGACAGGAGTTTAAAAAGAATCCATTCAAATATTTGATATATTTATTCTGCTCTCCCATCTTGTATTACTTACAGATTTCAATGTTAAACTAGTGATATTATGATTTAGTGTGTCCCATCTTTAAGGGGACGCAAAAAAAATGTTAAAAAATTAACTGTTACTTTGGCAGCATCATTTACAACTAAATTTAATAAATGAGACATGCAGGGTACAAAAAAAGCTCTAGAATTTATATTCCTGAAATTTACGATTTATGTATCTTTGTCATAAAAATTTGTCTTTCCACTTCTTTCCCAAGACTAAAAATATTCAAGTTCAAATTAACTGGTTTCGACTTATTTCTACTTAAGAAGTAGTTAAATAATTAAGCGATTAGGGAATTGGGGACATAAACAAAACCCTGCTGAAAGAGCTGGAATATTACTTAAACAAAAGCTTAACCGACCCAATCTCTGGCCGAGTACAGCGGGGACTGATTTCTTCATAATATTAGACATAATATAAACAGAAATTTTTCCAGTTCGACAAGAGTGACCAAAAAGTTGTAAATTTTGGAAATTTCCATGGACACCACCTGGTCGTAAAATGAATTAGTTAGAAAACAAATGACAGACAATCTATTAACATTAGTAAATAATATAAAATAAATATTGAAAATTATAAGAAGATAGATACGGATAATTAATATATTGACAAAAAAGCATTTCAATTATATCTCAAAACGATCTTTTTATATTTTCTCTATTTAGGAATTTAACATTAGTACACAATATAAAATATATATTGAAAATTATAAGAAGATAGTTACGGATAATTAATATATTGACAAAAAAGCATTTCAATTATATCTCAAAACGATCTTTTTATATTTTCTCTATTTAGGAATATATACAACATATCCCACAGATATATTAGTACATTTTATTCTAAAGATACTAACGTAAATTAGGATGTTTATATTTATTTGTATATAATTAACATTTCCACTAAAATTTACTGTATTTAACACTAAAAGTATTACATAAGTNCCCTTAAACAAAGGAAAAATACGTCCTTTATGAAGGCCTAGAGCTTTTACTACATGAAAATGAAAATTAATGAATACACTGTGTACAGTAATTTACCTGATAAGACAGACCTCAGAAAAATACTTTATGAGAGCTTTTATACTTTTATAAAGCTGTCTATAATGAAAATACTTTATGAGAGCTTTTATACTTTTATAAAGCTGTCTATAATGAAAATTAATTAACTAAGCCCTGCCAGGGTGTGGCCGAGTTATCCGGAGTGCCAAGTTTTTGAGGCTCTACTGTATAAGAATTCAATAAACAAAATGCTTTTGATAAACCATTCTGCCTTTTGTCAGTTAAAAAACAAATTTCGGTTGATTTGGAAAAGGCTAAAAGCTTACAACTTGAAGTCATGTGTTGTACAGTCTCATGCTATGATATGGAATTTTCTAAAAGCATCATCTGCAAATGTTCTGTCTTTTAAAATGTGTTTTCTTAGTTTCTCGTATTCACAATCTAGGTTATGTATAGTACTGTACATTCAATTTACTTAATTTTAAAATAGAGCATAAAATGAGATCTTATATATCCCAACTGATTAAAAGAATATAAAATCTTATTTTATGTCCTATTTTATGTTTAAAAGTTATCTTTTAGAATATTTGATAAACATTTACAAAGTTGAAACTTTAAATCTCTTTGATAGCTAAATTTCATTTTTCTCCACAAAAATATTTAAAGTAAATATTCATAATTTTCTTTTTTGTTTCTTATATTATCTGTTTTTATATTTTATAATTTTAAAAGTTTGAATGCTATTTTATGAAATAATTGAATTACAAATTTTATTTGATTTTGCAATAAATTAAATTTTACTTTCAAAATGTATCATTATTATTTAATATCAGGGTGAAAGCAAATCAAAATTATCTCACAAAACATCACTACACAGAAGTATTTTTCAACATTATGCAAAGTTAGATTGGTTACCATTCTGTATACAAGATATATTATTTTGCTGCTTTAGGAAATTTTAATATGTATCACTAGAATAACATTAATATTCAAATATATTAATTTGGTATTTCATGATGCATAATATGACATCAGACCAGATACACATGCAATTAAAACTCAGAATAATGCATCATCTTTCACAAATAGTCATTATGTTTATGTAATAAATTGCTTCCATTTGCAATTCTAAATAATTTCAAATATAATAATATAACATACTATAAATCATTATTTATAAAAAAAACAACCAATCAATTTAGTGTAATAATTTATTATTATTATGTTAGTGAAGTGTATCCTACACAGCATATATTCTGGTGCTTAGTGCTATGTTGGATCAAAGTCAAGGCATAACTACAGAAAAGTAAGTCTTGATTACTGCTGTTCATGTATTTATCTGTATTTAAGAATTACTTGACTATGTGACATGTATTTAATATGGCAACCTTTTGTACTGTGATGTATGTGCTGTTGTGAAAACCTAATGTTCCAAGTCTTTTATGTAGTATGTGGTATGATGCTTGTGCAAGAAAGGATTACTGGCACAATACACACCTTATCCATTCTCCACAGATATATTACTTCTGGGCAAATTATAATCATTTACTAATTTTTTTCAGTGTATGTATTTTGTATGTTATGAACAGATCTGGCACAGATGTATCCCAAGCTATACATGGGGTTCCAGAAAAGAAAAAACAATAAAAACATGGGAAAAAAATAAAAATTTTAAATGAAGTTAACTGGTTAAAATTATTTATTTTTATAAACTTGTCTGCACTAAAGCCAAACTGGCCATATCTAACAAATTAAAATTATCTTGTTTATAAATACTGATTGGTTCTTATTCAAATAATGCTAACAAGTGTGTGCACAATAATAACTGTTTCACATGTAAATTTTATCTTATACATTTCCAATGCCATCTGACACTGTATATTCATATTTGTCAATTTCTGGTCTAATGGTTTAATGTCTTTGTCCATTAAAATTAGACCAATTAATTGTTGTTTTAAGTATTTTGGATAGAAATAGCAGAAAACAACATATATTATTTTCTGCTATTTTCACATATGCATATAATGAATACTGTTGATGTATTATATTTGTTATTTGGTTATGACAATGTAGGTAGTCTGTTTCTATTAACACTTACTTATCCGGCCAGCCAACGACTGATTATAATGTCAGCCACATTATTTTTCATATTTTATTAAAACATAAAATAACAAATAATCTTTTAGAAAAAACCAAATTCTTCCGAATACAGTAGAGCCTCGAAAACTCGGCCTAATGTGGACCGAAGGGTGGCCGAGTTTGTGAAAATGCTGGGTTATCGGGAATGGGGTTAAAAAAAATAAGTATGAGTGTTTCCTCAGAAAATACTGTACTGTACTTGTATGTATTGTTTACTTGAGAATACAACAGAGAATAAACTGCCCAAATACCCTTAAACAAAGGAAAAGTACGTCCTTTATGAAGGCATAGAGCCTTTACTACATGAAAATGAAAATTAATGAATACAC